CATGAACAAGAAAGAATATTTCCAGAAGGTAGGCAGAGTCTTTTGGCCTCAATGTTGCAAATCTCAAGTTTTGAAATTAGTCAGTAGACTTCTTAAACTTGCAGTAGTTCAATCATTTAAAGCAATAACCATTCAGGTTGACTGGAAGGAGCCTTTTTTTGAGACAAAGAAACATCATATTTACATCTGTATGTGGGCATTTCATGATCGATAGGATTCATGATTTAAAGGAAACAATAAAATTGCTTCTTTAAATAGGCAGAAAGAGAAGCTGGAATTAATGCATTTAAAGATGTATTTACAAATTGACCTTCAACTGAAAATGTGAACCTTCTATAGTCTCATAGAAGGTGGCAGGGTCAAAGTCAAACTTTCACAGAAAGCTGTCCAGGATACAGTCAGGAAAGTAAGTGAGTTGGTAGTAGTAGTAGTAGACGGAAGCAGACTGCTTTTAAAAGCCTATCCTGTGTTGTCAACTTTTTTAGGCTACCGACCTCCAGGAAAGCAAAGAAACCACAACAACAGATAATTATAAGCTTATAAGCTTCATAAATAGCTTTACAAACCATTTTCTTAAAAACCAAACAAGAATGTCATGTTTTTAGATTTATGTTGGCATCATTCCAGAATTTAACTCCAGTAATGGAGACACACCTCCTTTTCATACCTTTTTTAGCTTTTTGTACAGTAAATTTGCAAGCACCTCTGAGATTATACAGACTATCCTGAATTGAAAAGAACCTCTGTATTGAGTCAGGGAGCATTTTGGATTTTGCTCTAAACATTATTTGCATTTTTTAATAATAAAACAGATCATGAACTTGCATAACATAAGAATTTAGAAAAAGTGGCTCTGTGTGATCATAGTAATCAGTCTTAAAGCTCGTTTTTGCAGTTTTATTAATGAATTTATCGTGGTTTTAAAGGTGGATCCCCACAGTTTCACACAGTAAGATATATAAGGACTAATCAATGAGTAATAAATCAAATGCAAAGCCTTGGAATTCAATACTTTTCTTGATTTGTACAGAATTGCAAGTGATTTTGAAATTTGCTAAAGTTAATCTACTTGGACTGTTGACAAATGTTACCAAGGAAAACCTCTGATCCACCACTGGCTCAACCACAATATTTTGTTGGTTAATGCTCTGATAAATTGGAATCAATGGGTTTTCCCTTCACACCTGTCTCTTAAGCTACCAATCTTACCTGTATATATAAACCCCTGGTATTTTCACCCACTCGCTACCAGATTGTCATTGTGTGCTCATGCTCTCAAGCCTTGTTTTATTATGTTTCATACATCCTGAGAGCCGCTCTTGGCTCAGGTGTTTCTCTAAATGGCCACTCGGCTCTGTGCCATGCTCTTTGCACCATCAACCTCTGCAAAAACCTATAGCCGTCTGAAATCAGCGTCCACTGAATTGCAAGTAAGTTCAGTCAGCCGAACCACTGCCTAATTAATTTTGTGTTCATTTCTGCCTTTATAGCATTTACTGTTTTAGCTTTGTTGTGTCAATCTACTTCAGACCCATTGTGGCTACAAGTAGTATTGCAACTGCTAACATTAGCTTTTGCACACAATGTCTAAAATGAGTGCGAATTTGACGTAGAAAAGATGTCCAATGTCTAACATGATATCGATTTGATGTAGAAAAGATGTCCACAAAGACCACATTTGGACTACAAATAGCCCCTATAAGGATGTACTGTTGACATCATGAATGAACGTTCAGTAGCCATCAAAAAAAGACATTGTCTGGCGTAACAGTCTGCAACTTCACGTGATCTGAATGAGACGTGAAAAAATGACTTGGAAAAGATGTCATTTAGACGTCTCTTTGCCCAGTGGGTAGTGTTCAACCGCTGGTCAGTTTTGCAGTTGCATCTTCTTTTCCTCCTCTCTCTTCAGTTGCCTCTCCCAGCCTAGCAGTAATGAAAGCTTTGGGCATGGCAGACCCACAAATACCTCATGTTCAATCATGACTGAAAAAACGTTTAGGAGCTCTGGGGTGCAGGGCAAGTGAGCTCAAACTTAATGCTGTATTCAAAACATAGAACCAGAAGCTCTTTCTTTTTTGAAAAAACCACTGTGACAACAAGCTTTGCAGGTGTTTCATTCAGACATTTGCCAACCTCATTGCGATTTGTACCCTGGAACATATAAAGATTCAAGGACTAGTTCAATGCCGCTTGCAGCCATATTATGTGTTGTAATGGGGTTTTAACCAATCACAAACAAGTATTTAATAAAGCTGGGTGATAACAAAACATCTGACAAAATGCTCATGTGTCTATGAGAGTTCCCCTCTGCCATGCGGGCAAGCCTAGATTTATGATTTCAGATGAGATTCATCCAGAGGTGGAGGTAAGGAAGTCGGAGCACTTCCTCAATCTGCATGGATTGAAAGCTGTCTATTCATCACTGCTGATTACAGGGATTCAGCCTGTGATGGATTGTCTGAGGAGGAAGGATGAAGTGGTTTTTCTGGGCTCTGACCTCCTGAGGTGGATTGAAAAGTGGAAATGTTGAGCAGGCAGATAGTTATGTGCATATTTGAAGAGAAAATGAAACGTTTATGAAAATGAGTTGTCTTCCACAGTGGGATGAGTGTGGCTACTTCAGACCCAAGTAATTATCAGTATCATAAGACCATTCTCCATTTCCCATTTCTAAAGCTATATCCTTTAATCAGGCTTCAACTTTATTAGAAATACGGTTGAATAATTTAGACCCTGAGAACCCAAACCTTTAAAAATCCCCTGAACCACATGTTACTTGGTCTTGACAAATCACCGTTCTGTCTTTGGAAGAACTGAAACAGAAAATCCAATACAAGTGCAAATGGTCTATACATTACAATTTGTTGTGACACTATAAACAATGGAATTTCCCTCTGTGGGACTAATAAAGAAATATCTTATCCTCTGGTGATGTTATTTGCCTGATGTGTCCACTTTTATGTGTCACAGGACTTAATTCATTTAAAATTTTTAATAAATTAAGCATAGCCTTAGTTCTGGCAGGTCATAACATCAAGCACCGATCTGCAGCCAATGGCAACTAGCCACCTCAACCAGCTGATGGCCCAGCTATTTCCTCCTAGCTCCTATTGGTCCTATGCCTGTACAGCACCCTGTTTAAAACTGCCCTAACCCAGCCTCTTCCTCTGCTTCGACAGCCAACCAGCAACCCACCTCCACCCCACCCCTGCCACTGGCTTCCACGCAAGTGTGTGGAAAGGCAGTGACCCAGAACAGAACTATGCCGCCAAATTTAACTTTGCACGATAAAGCTGAATTTTGACAAAGTGATCCTGACTAAACTCAATATGATTACAGTGCCTTAGTATAAATCCAGATTATCAACTTATTTTCTGTGCTTTCCCTTAAAAAACTGGATGCTGGGAAAGTTTCACTATGAGCTGTTATCACCCTGTTCAGCAAGCAGCATAGGGCTTTTTAGTTTTGGGTTGCAGAGGATGCAGTTTGAATTTTTCCGTCAGGATTTTGTTTTCATTTTTCCTTCAAAGATGATACTGTCAAACTGTCAGAGGATGATGGTGGCAGGTGGCATTTTGGGTGGTCCGACCAGACAGTGCTTAGGTGAATGGGGATGTCGAGGTCTTGGATGCCTCCAGAGCTTTGGTAGCGGACTTGAATAGAGACAGAAATGCAACAATGCCACATAGAGTCTCTGTGCTCAGGTTACCAAGGCTAGTTTCCTCTCTTCGCTCCTCTAGAACTGCAGAGAGTTCCAACATGTCTCAACTGAAGCTTTCAGTGACTTATTGAGATGATTCTGAAGGTTTGTCTGCTTAAAGTAAGTAATTTAGATTTAGCAAAGTCGATGAGAGCAGACACTTCTTCAAACACGTCATCTTTAAAGGTGTGGGCACTGTGTTCAGAACGTGTGCTGCACAGCTGGGTCTTGTAACAGTCCGAAGGGCCGCAACTGTATATTGGCACCTCTGTCAGTCACGTAGACAAGTTTAGAGAAGAACTCATCCACACTGTATTTACGAAATACTTGCATGATGGCCTGTCAGAAGTTGTCCATAATGTGTTGTCCCAGATGTGCAAAGCACTTGCGTAGTTTGCTCCCACCTGTTGTTTATGTAATGCAACGTCACACACCGGTAACCAGGTTCACAGTAATCATCTGTCCACGTGTCAAGAGTCACTGCTCAATTGCTTTCAGTCAGCTGCATTTCAGCTCTGGGATGATGCTTTCTTGGATGTGTGACATTGTGGTTGAATCAGGCAGAAGTTACCAAGCATCCACATGGTTAGCTCTGGCACAGATATCAATTAAACCCTGAGCTAGTGCACTGAATCCATCCCCACACACAGGCTCAAAAGACCTAATACCCCGACACACAAACTTCACTGCTAACTTTTTAATTGTATCCTTGTCCTCTCAATTGGGGGTTTGAGAGCCGTGACCTTAGAGAAATACTTATCAAGAGTCCCTTAACCTGTGCTCTTGCAGCTGCAGTGTTTCCTCAGCAAAGATGTAACTACCTCTTGATTTTGGTAATGCTTTACAATAACCATAACTTATTATTGGTAAATAGACCATTTATAAATGTTAAGCAGATTTTATTCATGTTTAATCATCATTTATAAAGAGCATAAAGACAATTAATAAATTGTAAATGGAAAATTTAATAATGTCTAACCATCAATTAAAAATGGTAAAAAGATAATTTATTAATGTAAGTTAATAGTTACTTTACTATTCACAAGCAATTATGATTAATATTTTTCATACATTTTCAATGGATTATTTATTAAAGGTTTATATAATTTTTAAATATCCTTAAGAAATTGGTTGTAAAACATCTATATACACTCACCGGCCACTTTATTAGGTACACCTGTCCAACTGCTCGTTAACACTTAATTTCTAATCAGCCAATCACATGGCGGCAACTTAGTGCATTTAGGCATGTAGACATGGTCAAGACAATCTCCTGCAGTTCAAACCGAGCATCAGTATGGGGAAGAAAGGTGATTTGAGTGACTTTGAACGTGGCATGGTTGTTGGTGCCAGAAGGGCTGGTCTGAGTATTTCAGAAACTGCTGATCTACTGGGATTTTCACGCACAACCATCTCTAGGGTTTACAGAGAATGGTCCGAAAAAGAAAAAATATCCAGTGAGCGGCAGTTCTGTGGGCGGAAATGCCTTGTTGATGCCAGAGGTCAGAGGAGAATGGCCAGACTGGTTCGAGCTGATAGAAAGGCAACAGTGACTCAAATAACCACCCGTTACAACCAAGGTAGGCAGAAGAGCATCTCTGAACGCACAGTACGTCGAACTTTGAGGCAGATGGGCTACAGCAGCAGAAGACCACACCGGGTGCCACTCCTTTCAGCTAAGAACAGGAAACTGAGGCTACAATTTGCACAAGCTCATCGAAATTGGACAATAGAAGATTGGAAAAACGTTGCCTGGTCTGATGAATCTCGATTTCTGCTGCGACATTCGGATGGTAGGGTCAGAATTTGGCATCAACAACATGAAAGCATGGATCCATCCTGCCTTGTATCAATGGTTCAGGCTGGTGGTGGTGGTGTCATGGTGTGGGGAATATTTTCTTGGCACTCTTTGGGCCCCTTGGTACCAATTGAGCATCGTTGCAACGCCACAGCCTACCTGAGTATTGTTGCTGACCATGTCCATCCCTTTATGACCACAATGTACCCAACTTCTGATGGCTACTTTCAGCAGGATAATGCGCCATGTCATAAAGCTGGAATCATCTCAGACTGGTTTCTTGAACATGACAATGAGTTCACTATGGTTGACATAGATAAATGTGTTGTAGTGAAGGGGCAGTCGTACATAAGACTTGTCTTCTGTCTGCTCCTTTTCATTTCACATGATTACATGAGAAAAAAAATACAATAAAAAAAAAAGGATGAGTGCAATGTATTATATCATGTATCATGAATGAAATGAAATAAATAAACAAACATGAAAACATGAAACATGAAACTATACTCAAATGGCCTCCACAGTCACCAGATCTCAATCCAATAGAGCATCTTTGGGATGTGGTGGAACGGGAGATTCACATCATGGATGTGCAGCCGACAAATCTGCGGCAACTGTGTGATGCCATCATGTCAATATGGACCAAGCTCTCTGAGGAATGCTTCCAGCACCTTGTTGAATCTATGCCACGAAGAATTGAGGCAGTTCTGAAGGCAAAAGGGGGTCCAACCCGTTACTAGCATGGTGTACCTAATAAAGTGGCCGGTGAGTGTATATTTTAACATATATGAAGCATAGCGTTAGTTCTGTCAGGACATGACATCAAGCGATGATTTGCAGCCAATGGCTAGTAGCCACCTCAACCAGATGATAATCAGCTGATTCACTCCTAGCTCCTATTGGTCCTTTGCCTATAGAGCGCCTTATTTAAAAGTGCACTAACCCAGCCTCTTCCTCTGCTCTGACAGCTAACCAGCAACTTCCGTATGCCTGCCAAAACATTCGTGTTATTTCTCACCTCGTTGCTCCTCGTGACTATGTCCTCAGCGTACGACGAGGACGAGCCGCAGTTCGACTGCATCTTGGAGTCACCTCAAGAGTCCGATGCAGAGGACACGATCGGCCCGGAGGAAGCTTCCTCTGTCCGCAGAAGCTCCAGGTTGGCACGAAAGAAGACGCCGGATCCGTTGATCACTGTACTGGCCGTCAGGCTCTCTCCTGCTCTATATGCAGCTCTTTTTCCCATTCCTCTAATTTATGCCCGAAATCCGTGGCTATTGTAAAACCACCTAGAGACCTTGGATACAAGACCAAGGTGAAACCCAGCATAACTCCTATCTGTATTAATTTCAACGAAAAAGTGTGCAAATATACTAATTGTAAATATATCCACGCTTGCAGCTTTTGCGGGGACGGGCACCCCAGATCTATATGCCCAAGACGATCCCGCCTTGTGAAGAAACAATAAAACCATCAACCCCTATCAACGTGCCTGAGCTAAAGAAGGCTTTGCAAAAGCACCCCAACCGATGCTTTGTCAATTAGGAGGGCAAAAACATCCTACGCCACCAAACTGGAGGATAAATTGGACTCTAGCAACACCAAAGCAGTCTGGAAATGTCTACATGGACTGACAAATTACAAGAAAAAATCCCTTCCCCCCTCAAATGCAGACCCCCACCTCCCAGACCGGTTGAATACTTATTTCACTAGGTTTGAGAAGCCCATCCCAGACAGCTGGCCTAGCCCTCCCCCTCACCTATCCCCACCATTCTCCATTGACACAAACATGGTGAGGAGGATGTTCCGGATGCCGGACAAAGGCAAAGCTGCAGGTCCAGACAACATCACACCTGCGTGCCTAAGTCACTGCTCTGACCAACTAGCACCAGTCTACGCCGGCATCTTCACCTCCTCACTCCAGCAAATGAAGATCCCAGCCCTCTTCAAAAAATCCACCATAATTCCCATACCCAAGAAAGGCAAATCCTCCAGCCTCAACGACTACAGACCCGTGGCCCTGACACCCATAGCCATGAAGGTCCTGGAACGTATAGCACTGTCATACCTCAAAACAATCACTTCCCCTCTGATGGACCCCCTACAATTCGCATGTCGCTCCAACCGGTCAACAGATGATGCAGTCAATCTAGCTCTGCACTTCACCCTCAAGCATTTGGAGTCAAGAAACTCATATGCTAGGATACTTTTCATAGATCTCAGCAGTGCCTTCAACACCATCAATCCCCTCAAACTGTTCCACACTCTGATCAACATGAACATTGACCCCTCCCTCTGTTTCTGGCTGCTGGACACACTGAAAGAATGCACCCAAGTTGTCCGCCACAACAACTTCACCTCTCTCCCTCTGACCACCAACATCGGCGTACTACAGTGGTGTGTTCTATCCCCGTGGCTCTTCTCCCTCTACACCAGCGACCTCCGATCAGCCTCCACTTCAGTCAAGCTGCTGAAATACGCGGACGACACCACCATCGTGGGGCTGATTACCAACAACATGGAGGACGACTACAGGTCAGAGGTCGACAGAACGGTCAACTTGTGCAAAGACCACGATCTCATCCTCAACGAAAGCAAGGCAGTTGAACTCATCATTGACTTCCGGACAAACACCTCCATCAAGACACCCATCATCATTAACGACCAATCTGTTTCTGCTACAGACTCATTTAAATTCCTAGGTACACACATCAACAACAAGCTGAACTGGGATCATCACACCACTCACCTCCTCAAAACAGCAAATCAACGACTATTCCATCTCAGACAACTCAGGAAATACAGAGTCAGGAAGAATTTACTGGTACAATTCTACATCGCCATAATTCAAAACATTCTGTCTTTATCTATTACCACATGGTATGGCAACACACCAAAGCACACTTTAAACAGACTGGGCAGGGTGATAAAAAGGGCCTCCAAAATTATTAACTGTGAACTCCCCACACTGGACTCAATCCACAAACACCATACCATCACAAGGGCATACAAAATAATTGATGACCCACTGCACCCAGCTCACCATCTTTTCCGGCTCCTCCCCTCGGGTAGAAGGTTTGGATCTCTGGGCGGTTCAACAAAGCGCTACAGTAACTCCTTCTTCCCCCTTCCCGTACGACTGCTAAACTCCTCTGGTCGACGTGTGTGAAGTCTGTGTATTATGTCCCGTGGTACCCCGTTTCATATGTTATGTTATGTCATGTCACTGTGAATTGTTTAACGTCTGTTTAAATTAATGTGGTGTATTGTTGCAGCTACCACCTGCACAGTGAAAAATTCCACCGGCCTAGCCATGTGGCGATTAAAGAAACTTGAACTTGAACTTAAATTACTTAATAACTGGACTCATTCAAGGTTTTTTGGCCGGTCTGGCATGGTTACCTAATGTGTCTTATGTGTGTAATAACTTACAATCTGCTTTAAAGGAGCCCGAGATAGTCGACACTCTACTAAAGAAGGAAGTTAGAAAAGGTTTTATGATAGGTCCGTTCATCAATTCACCATTTCCTATAACACGCATTAACCCCCTCGGCATAGCCACTCAAAAATACTCCGGAAAAAAGCGCTTGATCATAGACTTATCAGCCCCTCACAACGATTCAGTAAACAGCATCAATAGCCTTATTCCTCTGCCACCATTCTCTCTGTTTTATGCCTCAATTGACGATGCCATCAAGCTTATTAAAAAAGTAGGCAGGGGCACATGGCTGTCTAAAACAGACATCACCGACGCTTTTAAAGTTATGCCCCTACACCCCTCTCAGTGGCATCTCTTCGGCTCGAAATGGAGAGAAAAACTGTACTTCGCAGTTAGACTAACTTTCGGGTGCCACAGCAGCCCCAAGATCTTTGACACGCTGTCAGAGGCCCTCTGCTGGATTCTGCTGAATAACTACAGGCTTCCATTTTACTCCACTTGCTTGATGATTTTCTGCTAATTGATTTTCCCAATGCCAAGCCTGACCGTGCTATTTCCACACTCAAATCTACCTTCGCTACCTTAGGGGTGCCATTATCCAAGGAAAAAACTTCTGGTCCTCTCCAATCCATAGAATTCCTAGGTATCGTGCTAGATAGCAACTTAATGCAGGCTTCCCTACCCATTAATAAATTAACTCGTATCAGAGAGATCATGAAAGTGCAATATTCTAAAACAATATCAAAAAGAGACTTGCTCTCCCTCCTCGGCCATTTAAATTTTGCCCCAGGTTATCCCCCAGGGCCGCTCTTTCATATCCAGGCTTCTCGACATAACAAAAACCACCAGCCATTTGGCCGCGCCCATTACACTAGATGAAGGATGCAGATCAGAACTCTGATTCTGGTCCCTTTTACTTGAGAAATGGAATGGTATTTCATTTTTCTACAATGATTGCTCTGAGTCATCCCTGAAAATCTGTTTGTTCACTGATGCAGCCCCTTCCTTGGTTTTGGGGGGTTCTATAACAACCAGTGGTTTGCCGACAAATGGCCAAAAGAATTGTCATCTTTGCCAAGCAACGTCACCTCTTCAGCCCTAATGGAAATTTATCCAATTGTCATTGCATGCCTACTCTGGGGTAAACACTGGGCAAGGAAACAAATTACCATTTTCTGTGACAATGAAGCTGCAGTCCATATCATTAACAAAGGGCGTTCCTCCATACCCTTTATTAATAGGTTTTTAAGACGCCTGACTTGGGTTTCAGTCCTAGGTAATTTTATCGTTAGAGCAGCTCACATTCCGGGTTTAGACAACAAGATTGCTGATGCCCTGTCTCTCTCTGGCCTTCCCTGCCCTCCTTTCAATCAGACCGTTCTGGACTAGACTCTACCCTGCAATCATACATGCATTCAGCCTCCCGATACATGAGATCCGGACTAGCCCAATCAACATTAAAAGTGTATGACTCTGCATGGTCCTATTTCTCATCATTCTGTTTCACCTACTCTGTTCCCATGTTTCCCATAAAAATTTCTATTGTATGCGCTTTCTTGGTCCACTGCTTTGAGTCTCGGAAGATGCAACCTTCTTCTATCAAAGGCCTTTTAGCAGGAGTACAGTTCCACCTGCAGTGTTTGGATCCATCTGCCGGCAGCCTGCTTGGAAACCCTTCAATCCAGCTCCTGCTGAACGGATTTAAGAAAGAGAAACCCAAAGGCCAAGATATCCGTCTTCCTTTCACTGTACCTCTCTTGCATAAATTAATCACGCATTTGAAAAAGGGGTGTTTTGGGCCATATTCAGACTTACTTTTGGAAACAGTCTTTCTCACAGCTTTTTATGGTTTCCTTAAAGGTGGAGAATTTACTACTCACACTAAACATTTCGACCCTTCTCACGACCTCTCCATAGCCGACGTTACAGTTCACAGTCACCATTTCAGTGTCTTTCTTAAACATTCCAAGACAGATAGAGACAGGAAAGGGACCACTGTTCTCATAGCTCAAACTAATTCTCCTTTCTGTCCATTTGCCTCAATGACCCGCTACCTGAAAAGCCGTCCCCGAGCCAGCCAGCACGAGCCGCTGTTTGCCACGGAGAAAGGGGAACCCATGACCAAAGCCTGGTTCGCTACCCGCCTCCGCCTCCTCTGCCAGTCCTGCGGACTTCCTCCAGATCGCTACATGGCTCATTCTTTTCGCATAGGCGCAGCTACAACTGCAGCTATGACGGCTCCAGTGTCCACCCTCAAAGCCATGGGCCGATGGTCGTCTGCCGCGTATGAACGCTATCTGCGCCCGGAGGCCCGGGACATTCTAGAAGCTCAGAAAACCATGAGTAACCATAACTTGGCACATAGATGGAATTAAATGAAATATATAAATAAATATCCCGCAGATAACTATCCATGCTTGGGCAACGAGTCTCTCTAACCCGTCTCTCTTTCGACAGCTCTCACCTCCCCTTGCTAACTCCTAGACTGCACAGCATGGTTGTTTTGGGGGGGTTCTGTTCATCGCTGCTCTACCCCCGCCGCCTCCACCTTCATGGTGGCTCGTGGAGGGCAGGAAGGGGCTCTTCCTGCCGCTGGCCTTTCACCCATGCCAACGCGGAGAACAGGGGCCCCGAACAGAACCTCGAGTGCGCTCCCTGCTATCGCCTTTCATGATGGCTCGTTATGGGCAGGAAGGGGCCCTTCCTGCCTCGGGCTTCCACGCAAGCATGTGGAAGGGCAGGGACCCGGAACAGAATCATGCCGCCAAATTTAACTTGCACAATAAAGCAAAAATTTTCGACAAAGTGTACCTGACTGAAATATTAGGAGCACTTTGTAAATGGTTAATATTTGTTTTTTAAACTATCTATAAACATTACTTAGATGGTTATGGTAAAGTTGCAACTAATGTTTGTAATACTATGTAAATGATTAATAATTAATTTATAAATCACCTATAAATATTGCTTAGATGGTTATTGTAAAGTGGCGACTATTACTTCATGATTAATTTGCTGTTTCAACTGTTAACCATCAAGTAATATTTATTTTACTTCTTTCAATGGTGATCTATAACTGAGTAATTATTTTTTGCGAAAGAAAAGGGTCAGATCATCTTAGTGAACATATTTAGTAATTTTGTTTACTTATTACGTTTTTTTCTATCTGTCGTTATTTGCACTGCGGGTCTGAGAAGACTCTAATTTCATATATGCTGTATGCTGTCGTATAGCATATTTGACAATAAAGCTGACTTAGACTTTGACTTTGATTTATCAACAAAGTCAATGACATGCTACACTGTACCACAGATAAACATGGTGGCAGACAAGAATGGTGGGATTACAACACAACGACAACTTAATTTTAAAAGTGCCTACTTGCCCATAATTTGCATGAATTAACACTGAACAACAAAGCAATGAACAACATCACACACTCTGGAATGTCAATGTGTTGCCTTTTTGGCATAATTTATTTGTCTATTTGTATTGCTTTGAAATATCATGGAGCAGGCATCCCGGTGGACCATTACTGTGTTTTTTATCCAGGCATTCATTCCACTTAATCTTGATCAGGTGATCTCTTAGTCGATCCTTGGTTCGATTCCCCCGTAGTCTCCCAATAGTCTCCTTGTAGCTCCTCCAGGCCCTCTCAATGTGTTGAGTGTGGCAGTCTTTATCAGCATAAACATATGCCACACTGTGGTTGACTGTATAATGCTTGTATCCAAATTCAGACAGACGGTAGGCCTGCCACTCATCGGTAAGTATTGTGGATCCCATCCGAACATGGTGTAGAACCAGTGGAATCAGCTCTTGTCTGGTCCATCTTTCCACCAAGCGGAGAACAGGCATTGTCTTCTGTCCTCTGTGCTTCACACCCAGCAATCCAAACACCCACTTTTTCCATGTCCACCCACCAACCATTCTTCCACGTCCATACAGTCAAAATATCTAAATAGAACACATATTAGAAATGGCATATTCACATAATAATGAGCAATGAATATATGTTAATAATTTTACCATTAAAAAATAAAAATAAACTCATTATTTTACCTGAATGAGGGTTACAAAATGAAGATAACCCTGTGAGTATGGATTCAACCCCACCATTGTATCAGCAAATCCTCTTAGTGCAAATATTTTCTTATGTTTTTAAACTAGCTTTTAGCATTAGTAAGCATTAGGTGGCACTCTACCTGTTATTCATACAGTGACAAAACCAAAGATACAGCTCCTCATAGAAAATAAATTTGTCTCAATGACCTATTGAGTCCACCATTTTGGATTTTCCACCATTTCAAATACTAATATAAAAGCAAATCTTTCCGTGCTTATACTACTTTTGTTTTGACTGTACATCTGTCCCACCCAAAATTGCCTGGAGTGCTACCCATAGATAGATAGATAGATATACTTTATTGGTCCCAAACTGGGAAATTCACATGTTACAGCAGCAAAAAAATACAAAATGATAATAAATAAACAGACAAATTAAGGTGCTCAGTAATGTGATGTGGTAGGAGTTTTAAAAATGGACTATACAGCAGACAGATGTGAGTCCCTGTCTGACAGATGTGAGTTATTAAATAGTGCAATAGCTTGTGGCAGGAAAGATTTCCTGTATCTGTCCCTTCGACAGCGGAGCTGTAACAGTCTGTTGGAGAAGGAGCTCTGCTGTCTGTCCAGAGTGAGGTGGAGAGGGTGGTCAGGGTTATCCATGATGGTTAACAGTTTGGTCAGTGTCCTCCTCTCCACCACAGCTTCCACAGTGTCCTGTTTGCAGCCAATCACAGAGCCAGCCTTCCTGATCAGTTTGTTGAGTATGTTGGTGTCACTGGCTCCGATGCGGCTCCCCCAACAAACCATGGCAAAGAAAAGTACGCTGGCCACCACAGACTGGTAGAACATCTCCAACATTTTGCTGCACACGTTGAAGGATCTCAGCTTCCTCAGTAAGTAGAGTCTGCTCATCCCCTTCATGTAGATAGTGTCGGTGTTGGATTTCCAGTCCAGTCCGTTGTTAATATAGACGCCCAGGTGTAGACCTCCACCTCCTCCACATCTTCTCCCAGGATGCACAGCGGCTGTGAAGCAGTCCTCTTCTTCCTGAAGTCGATGACCATCTCTCTGGTCTTGGTGACATTCAGCCTCAGGTGATCGCGTCAAGCCCAATCCACAAAGTTATCCACCACTGCGCTGTACTCCCCATCCCTTCCCTCGCTTATACACCCAACAACAGTCGAGTCATCAGAAAATTTCTGCAGGTGGCACGACTCAGAGTTGTACTGAAAGTCAGTGGTGTACAAGGTGAAAAGGAAAGGGGACAGCACAGTCCCCTGTGGAGCTCCTGCATCACTGACCACCATGCTAGACAGAACACTGCCCAGACGGACAAACTGTGGCCTGTCCGTCAGGTAGTCAGTGATCCAAGAGACAATGGAGGTGTCGACACCCATCATCCGCAGCTTCTCACCCAGCAGCAGTGGCTGGATGGTGTTAAAAGCACTGGAGAAATCAAAGAAGGTGATTCTCACAGTGCTGCCACCACCATCCAGATGCAAATGAGCTCGTTGCAGCAGGTAGATGACAGCATCGTCAACTCCCAAATAGGACTGGTAGGCAAACTGTAGAGGGTCTAAGAGCTCCCTCACCTGCGGCCTCAGGTGGGCCAAGACCAACCTCTCCAGCACCGTCATCAGATGGGATGTAAGGGGAACTGGTCGGTAGTCATTGAGGTCAGATGGAAGAAGAAGAACTTTATTGATCGCAGAAGGGAAATTCAATTGTCTGTTTTCTCACGTAATATATCTATAAAAGTTATCTATTATTTACATGAGTTATAAAGCCTGATGGCTGTTGGTACAAAAGATCTTCTAAATCTTTGTGTCCTGCAGTGAAGAGAGAGGAGCCGTCCACCACCATTTGCCCTTTGGTCCATCAAGGTGTTGTGAAGTGGGTGATCCATGTTCTTTAGAATAGTCTCCACCTTCCTCAGTGTAGATCTCTCCACCACATCCTCCACTGAGTCCAGCTTGAGTCCTACGACAGAGCCAGCCTTTTTCACCAGATTGTTAAGATGTCTTGCATCTTTGTGTTTGATGCTTCCTCCCCAGCAGACTGCAGCGTAGAACAGCATACTTGCCACCACAGACGAATAAAACATCTGCAGCGTCTTACCACAGACGTCTATTGATTGGAGTCTTCTCAGGCAAAAAAGGCAGCTCTGCCCCTTTCTGTAAATGTAGTCTATATTCTTAGACCAGTCCAACTTATTATCCAGATGTACACCTCGGTATCTATATGATGTTACCACTTCGATGTCCACTCCACGGGTGTTCACTGGCTGAAGAGGGGGTTTGGATCTACGGAAGTCTATGAACATCTCCTTTGTCTTTGAGGTGTTGAGGAGGAGGACGTTTTTGTGACTCCAGTCACTGAAGGCTCTTATCAGATCTCTGTATTCAGCTTCTTATCCGATTCTGAAACATGCCACAATAGTGGTGTCAACTGAGTATTTCTGGATGTGGCAGGACTCAGTACTGTATTTGAAGTCTGATGTGTACACTTGAACAGGAATGGCGCCAGCACTGTCCCTTGTGGAGCCCCCTGCACTGCTCATTAATGTTCCAGAAACACAGTTCCCCAGCCTGACAAACTGTGGCTTTCCTGTCAGGTAATCTGTGATCCAGGAAACACAGGAAGGATCCACTCCCATCTCTGTGAGCTTGTCTTTGAGTATGGTGGGTTGAATGGTGTTGAATGCACTTGAAAAGTCGAAGAACATGATCCTCACATAAACCCCAGGTTCCTCTAGATGAGACAGGGCACAGTGAAGCATGTAGAGGACAGCATCATCCACTCCAATGTGTTCTTTGTATGCAAACTGCAGGGAGTCCAGTTTGTCTTTGACCTCAGACCTCAGAAGGCATAGAATCAGCCGCTTCAGGGTTTTCATGATGTGTGAAGTGAGGGCCACTGGTCTGTAGTCATTGAGTTCAACAGCACATTTTGTTTTTGGTACTGGCACAATGCAGGATGTTTTCCACAGAGCAGGTACCCGCCCCAGTAGTAGACTCAGGCTGAAGAACTTGTGGAGAGGTTGACACAGTTCTGCAGCACAGTCTCTAAGCAGTCTTGAAGACACACCATCTGGACCAGCTGCCCTCCCAGGACAAAGTCTTCCAAGCTCCAACCTCACCCCTGTTTCAGTGACAGACAAGGACTGGTGTTCTAGGAGGGAGGCAGTTGAAGTGGTTGAGACATTTGAACAAGATGGAGGAGGAAGGGGAGAAGTTGTAGTGGAGATTTGTTGCGGAGAGGAAGGTGGAGTAGCAGTGGAAGTGGGAGTGACAGCAGTGTCAAATCTGTTGAAGAACAGGTTGAGTTCATCAGCTCTTTTCACATCACCCACCACTGGCTGTAAGTCAGGCCTGCTGCGCAGACAAGGCGTTCCCAAGCACACTTTGGTATTTTGGTGAGTGGCGCAGCCTGGTGTAAGAGTCTCCCCTCCCTAACTCAGCTCCTCCCAGTGGCGTAAGTGGTAGGGAGGGAGGGGATAGGGCGTGGAGTGGGTTTAACACAGCCGAGACCTGTTTTTGCCAATCACATAAGCTCCTCTCCTCACCTTTAAATCTGCCACCGGCGAGGCGTATTACAATTTTTGTGAAGTAGTCAAAGAGATCAAGAGATGTCTGAAGACAGTAATGCCACACGATGGCGACAGAAGGCATCCCCTCAAAGAGTGTCGCAGTTAAGCGCTGCAGAGGGCATCCTGCAAACTGTCTCATATAAGCACAGATGGATTTGGTGCGTGTAAGTTTGGACCCACTGGTAAGACAAACACCCTTTTCCACAAATAAAGCTAATCACATAAAGTTGCCTATATTTAAACCTCACGTGACAAAGGTGGGTTGTGTGCACAGATCACAACATAAATTCCAATAATAGCATTAAAATCGGAACCATCTGTGTGTAAATGACGCATTGCGCTCCGTGGCCTGGCTCTTTCTTTCATAGATGTTGGCATATAAAATATATTTGGCTCACAAAACTGAATATTATAATATTCATATGTAGGCTTAAAGTAAATAACTCATCTGATCATTAAAATAAATCATCGGTTCAGCTGCCGCAGCAGCAGCTGCAGCAGGACGGGGAGAGGACACGGAGACATGTCCAGGTCGAGCTGCACAAATATTAGGAAGAGGAAGATAGAAATGGGGGAAGATGAATTAAACATCTTGTTAACGTCATCATGTGTGTCTATTTACTAGATATATAATTCAATTTAATGCAGTTTCAGCTGTGTTAATTTGGTCAGGGTAAGTGTGTAAACGTGTGCCAAACGCGCTCATCAGATCACATATAGATCAGAATACATCTATAGATCTAAATGTTTGTGCTGACTCAAAATATTGGTTGTTGTTGATTATTTATTGCACTGAAATGTGCCTGACACTGTGAAAACCTGCCTGTGAGGCATCGGTGACGTATGCCGATACGCTGCAGGTCTACCAAAATACCACTAGACCAGCTGTGCTCCGCCTGCGCTGAAAGACGGGATTTGAATCGGCGGGCTTTCAGAGCACTTTCTATGCCACTGGCGGGCACAAAATGTGACTGCGCCAGCTGATTCTTTCAACACCGCCCCCTGCCACGCCACCACGCCCAGGTTAATTTGTCCTCCAGGAGGTGTTGGGTCCCCCTCTGGAGCGCGCGCCGTAAAAATATCCATTTTTTCTCGGGTTTTTAACGCGTTTTTATTGTCTTTTTCCCCTTTTTTCCGCACCTACCTAGTATAACATTTGCAGCAACACTTGGCACACCATGTGGCCCATCAGAACACTTGGAATCAATTTGGAATGAGTAATATAAATAACTGACATATTGCATACAAACATATTTTTATTGTTAATAGATTT